TTGTTGGGTTGCTGCCCCTAAATTGGTAATTTGGCAGTTTTGGGTTATTATCTTGAATATTATAATAGATAGAGATTAACTGTAAAAAGCAAAATTGTTCAGCAAAGTAAGATCTATAAATAAGTTTAACATGACCAAAATGGTGAATTGACCCAAAAAAAAGTTATTGCCTTTAAAGTAAATTTTTCACAATTTTTCGTAAATGTTTTTACAAAAATCTCTCCTCTGATCCTACTGGACCATATTGAACCAAACTTGTCCTAAATCATCCTTATGGTATTTTGTTTAAAAAATGTATCCGATGACCCTGCCCATCAACCAAGATAGCTGCCTTGGCTAAAAATAGAACATGGGGATAAAATGCAGTTTTTGGCTTATATATCTGAAACTAAAGCATTTACAGGACATTTGACATGGAATATAAATGTCCATCAGGTCAAGATATATCTACCCTGAAATTTTCAGACGCATCAGACAATCTGTTGATGAGTTGCTGCCCCAGAAATGGCAATTTTAAGGAAATTTTGCAGTTTTTGGTTATAATCTTGAATATAATAATAGATAGAGATAAACTGTAAACAGCAAAATTGTTCAGCAAAGTAAGAACTACAAATAAGTCAAACATGACCAAAATGTTCAATTGACCCATTAGAAGTTATTGCCCTCATACATTTGTCATAGTCAATTTTTAACAATTGTTTGTAAATTGTGTATTCTTTTACAAAAACCTTCTCCTCTAAACCTACTGAGACAAATTTAACCAAACTTGGCCATAATCATCATTAAGGTATCTAGTTAAACAAATGTGTCAGATAACCCTGCTTAGCAACCAACATGGCTGACATGGCTAAAAATAGAACATAGGGGTAAAATGCAAGTTTTGTCTATTATTTTTATAACCTTTATAAATAAAGAAAATCTGAAAGGAACAAATATGTTCAGAATAATGAGCTCTACCAATTGTTCATATACGTCAAAACTGTTAGACAAATTCTTATAGGTGTTATGGCCCATAAATGAAAAACATTTTTTTTTCATTTTTGCCTATTATCATGAAAACTGTGATATTTAGAGAGAAACATTTTTTTCTGTAATGCCTCATATGGTTTTAATTATAATAGAAAAATAAACACTTTAAATCACAAAAATGATCAGCAAGGCAAGATCTATTAATAAGTCAAAGCAACTAAACAGACTTAAATACCAGTCATACAAGATCAACAAAATATAGATTTTTGTCATGAAGTCTATTCTTGTCTTCTATGTTGGAGAGTGTGCTTAATGTTTGATATGCCCATACATCAAGGTGAGCGACATAGGCTATTTAGAGCATCTAGTTAATTTCTATTGTAATTTTATTTTATACTTGAAAAAACAGGCGCGAGCGCGGCTTGAAGACAACTTGAAATGTTTATGGCGATACACAGCTAAGGTTCTCGTTTCGCAAACTGTTTTTTTATGCACTGATGCATTATGTTGATAGTTTTGATTAGTTTGTCAGTTCTTCTTCCATAGAAAATTGTCCAATAAGTAGCGTCTGTCTCAGTGTAACACAGGTGCTCTAGCTATGACACTGATGATTGAAAAATTTCTCAGTGGTGCTGGTGTTTAGTATTTTATTTCGAAAGGTGCGAGTCAAGTTCTGTCTCTGTGTGATATGGGTGCTCCAAGAACGGAGGAAATAACTAGGAGAAGACAATCTAGAACTCTCTGATGATTTAAAACATTTCTTCAGTGGTGCGAGTTTGCAGTATTCTTCAGTAGTGCGAGTTTGCAGTATCATTCAGTAGTGCGAGTTTGTAGTTTTTTTTTTTCGAGTGGTGCGAGTTCTGTCTATGTTTGACACGGTTGCCCCGAGAAAAGGAGGATTTTATTAAGAGAAGAAGAAAACAATCTAAAGATTAAACAAATTTTTCGAGTGTGTTATATTTCTTTTCTTGTTTTTGAGTGGTGCGAGTTTTATAAAGTGATGCAAGTTGTAATAATTGGTGAGCGTGTCTGAGTGGGGCGAATTGGTTGTGGGCCGAGTTGACATAAATTCAAGACAAATTAAATACGAAACCATTTCCCCCTGCCTGCAAAAAGTAGACGGTAAGGAACCAGCTACGGAACTTTATTTGGGGCTTAAGTAATTAAGCTACGTTAATCAAAGCAATTACTTTATGAAGTGATAAAGTACATCTCATACATTGTGTTGGTATGTTTTGCTGGGATTGGTAATGAACATGGCTATTTATAAAATTAAAATAGAAAGGTTACAATAGAAATTACCACACAATAAATGCATACATAGCAAAACTTTAAAATTCAGTATAGAAATTATATACGTACACGATATACAATTCACCTATTGACAAAGTTGTTAGTATATTTTGCCGGGATTGGTAATGGACAAGGCTATATATAAAATTGATATGTTACCACAGTAAGAACTGATCGACTTTTGATTACATAGTTATTATTATTATACAAAGCTATGGTACTTGATGACGATTTACGGATGTAGGTCAATGTTATTTGGTTTGCATTAATATTAGCATTGGCACATCTCATTTCCATGAAGATTATTTAGCCCTGCCCCCTCAGTTATGGTTTATTGAATTTGAAACTTATTCTTAAGTATACATGTAGAAGTTTGTTAGGTCATTATATGATGAACCACTAGTGGTAGGACAATGATATTTAGTATGCAGTTGAATAAGCATTGTCAGATCTCATTTCCATGGAGATTATTTTGCTCCGCTCCTTTAGTCATGGTCCATTGACTTTGAAATTTTGCATAGTTTACATGTATTAATTTGTGATTAGATCAGTTTATTGGGAACAACTTATGGTTAGTCAATGGTGTTTGGTATGCAGTTGTATTAGCAATGACATAACTTATTTTCATGGAGATTATTTGGTCGCCCTTGTAGGTATGGTCTATTGACTTTAAAAATTTTGCTGAGTTCACATACATTAGTTTGTGGTTATGTCAGTTCAAGGGAAACCATTATTGGTTGGTTTTCATGGAGATTATATAGCACAACCCCCTAATCATGGTTCATTGACTTTGCAGCTTTTACATAGCTAACAAGTTAATGTTTGTGTGTAGGTTTATTTAATGGGAACGACTTATAATAAATTAATAGTATTTAGTATGCAGTTGTATTAGCATTGGCACATCTCATTCCCATTGAGATTGTTTAGTCATGTACCTTCTGTCATGGTTCATTAACTATTTATATTTGCATTACTTACATGTTAAATTATCGCTATTTTGATTTCAACATGTGTGTTATCAAAATTACAAAAAGGTGAGACTCATTTTTGCAGTCAACATTGCACTTTTACTCTGACTGCAGCATGCATTCGCAGGCGAGACAAGAGGTCCGACAAAATCCTTTACGAATTGTTCAAATGACTTTAAACGTCATTATTCTGTTAAACGTTGCTAATTTTTAACATTTCGAGATCAAACGCACTCTTGCGGACAAATACTCTTTAGAGTTTTGGCATTTCACTTTAGCGTGTTCCACTGAGTGACACAGGTAATCGCAATTGAGCGTTCAAACCACCGCACTTTAGCATAGATCATTGCACTTAGAAATGGTCATCAGGTTTAGCGTCCCAATCGCACTTACGAGTTCTAGATATGTATTTGTAAAAGGTTTCTTGTTATTTACAAATGACGTTTTGCACAAATTCGAAATGGCATCAAATGAATTGATGATTTTATGTTGTAGCACAAAATAATGAGAAATTAGTTCAGTGGAAGAAGCATGATGCCGATTTTGTAGAAACAACAGCTTCAAAAGAAGTGTTAAAATGTGTCCAGGAAAAAAGTTGTGTAACTATTACTGCTAGTTCCGGGGTAGGAAAAACAGCAACGCTTCACCATGTGGGTTTGAAAATGGCAGAAGAAGGGTATGATGTACTACCAGTAACCAATCCAAAGGATATTGTTAGGTTTTATAATCCTAAAAAGAAAACATTGTTTGTTATTGATAACTTCTGTGGAACATATTATATAAACGAGTCTGATATTGACAGCTGGGAACTAACACTAGAGAACATTGAAGCACTGCTTCAGAATAAACTGACAAAAATTATTGTGGCCTGCCGATTACAAGTTTTCAAAGATAAAAAGTTTGATTCTTTATCAATTTTTAAAACTAATGTTTGTAACTTGTTATCAGAAGACATGTGCTTATCACAATTTGAAAAGAAAGCAATAGCAGAGGTATATCTTAAAACAAACGCTTCAGATATTATTCAATATTGTGATTTGTTTGATTGTTTTCCCCTTTTGTGTAAATTATATCATGATAATCATGACCTCAATATCATGAATATGAAAGATTTCTTCCAGAATCCGTTTTCAGTATATGAAAAAGAGATGGAAAAACTAAGGAAGAATTCTTACATCAGATACTGTGCTTTGGCATTGTGTGTAATTTTCAATAATCAGTTGAACGAAGACGTATTGACAGACGAGACAAATGCAGAAACAAGTACAATCATAGAGAACACATGCGAAGCATGTAAAGTAGTTGCAGACACACCAAGGTCAACTTTTTTGACAGAACTTGATTCACTTAAACAAACATTCATTACGAAAGAAGAAGGTGTGTACAAAGCTGTCCATGATAAACTTTTTGACTTTTTATCTTTTTATTTTGGAGAAAAGATGATCCAGTGTTTAATTAAAAATGCTCACTGTGAACTAATCAAGGAACGATTTTTGTTAGAAACTACAGAAGATATGGACCAGTTCATCACTATTGTCCCATCGAAATATCATCAAATGTACATGCAGAGAATGGATAAGGACTGGTTAAATGGCAAAGTACGTACTGTGTTTTGTAATTTAAATATGGACCAACCGAAATTCAGAGAAAGATACTTGTTACATTTGAAAACATTTGAAACATCAAAGCAGAAAATTTTAGCAGAAGTTTGTGACTGCTATAACAAAGGTACTGTACTAATGCAGAGCTGTTTTAAAGATGATATTCCATTTATTCAGTGGTGTTTGTATCATAGTGTTGATGTTAACATGTGTAGGTGTGATGGCATGAGTCCTTTATATGTATCATCAGAAAGAGGTCAAGCTGACGCAGTGAAGATGTTATTGGAAAAAAAGGCAGACGTTAATAAGTGTCCACATTTGGGAAAAGCTCCTCTATCTATGAGTTGTCAAGAAGGTCATATAGATTATTATATCGCAAAGAAGTTACTGAACAAAAAACCAGACATTTACACGCTTAGTATTGGTGAACCGACTCCCTTGATGGTTGCCTGTCATAACAATCATCTAGATATAGTAAGATTATTACTACACAGTAAGGCAGACATAAATAAGTGTTCAGATGATAACACATCTCCCCTATTTGTTGCTTGTCAGATGAATCACATACATGTTGTACAGCTGTTACTTGATAACAAGGCTGACACTAATAAGTGTAGATACAATGAAATATCTCCCTTGATTATGGCCTGTAAAAAGAATCATTTAGATATAGTAAAGCTGTTACTGTCCAACAAGGTAGATATTGAAAAGTGCACAACAGATGGAGTATCTCCCCTGGCGATTGCTTGTCTGTATAATCATGTTGAAATGGTAAAGTTGTTACTTGACAACGCTGCAGATATTAATAAATGTGGAAATGATGGAGTATCTCCCCTGTTGATAGCTTGTCAGATGGATCATGTTGATATAGTAAAGTTGTTATTGAGCAAAAACGCAGCCATTGATAAGAGTTGTCATACAGGAATATCTCCCTTGTATACGGCTTGTGAGGAGAATTATGTAGATATAGTAAAGCTGTTACTTGACAACAAGGCAGATGTAAATAGATATGCAAATGATGGAACTTCTCCCTTGTTCATTGCTTGTAAGAAAAATCATAAAGCTGTGGTAAAGCTGTTACTGGACTACAATGCAGACATTAACAAGTGTAAGGTTAATGGAGCATCTCCTCTGCTGATGGCTTGTCAGATGAATCATGTCGATATAGTAGAACAGCTATTACTGTACAATGCAGACGTAAATAAGTGTAATAATGACGGTACGTATCCCCTCTTGGTTGCTTGTGAAATGGGTCATATAGATATAGTAAAGCTGTTACTGAAGAACAAGGCAGACATAAAAAAGTGTGTTCACGATGGAAGATCTCTCCTGTTTATGGCGTGTCAGGAGAATCATTTAGATATAGTGAAGCTGTTACTGGATAACAATGCAGACATAAATCATTGTTTGAATGATGGAACATCTCTCCTGTTAATGTGTTGTGATATGAATCGTATAGATATAGTAAAACTGTTACTCGACAAGAATGCAGACGTTAATAAGTGTAAAGGTGATGGAACATCTCCCCTGTATATGGCTTGTTATTTGAATCATGTAGATATAGTAAAGCTGTTACTCGACAAGAATGCAGACGTTGATAAGTGTAAATGTGATGGAGCATCTCCCCTGATTACTGCTTGTATTTTAAATCATGTAGATATAGTAAAGCTGTTACTGGATAACAATGCAGACATCAACAAGTGTACAGATGACGGAATGACTCCCCTGGATTTTGCTTCGACTTTCAATAATGTAGCTACAGTAAATTTGTTACGTTTTCGGGGGGGCACTTCGTATATACAAGGTGATAGGACGTGACGCTGGAATAGGTCACTTTTTCCAGCTTGAAAATATGGGAATAGGTTGGGAAAACTATCAGAAATATATGATAAGGTCGATAAAGACCCAATAACTTGTATATGAAAAGTCCTGTCATATTTTTACAGCCGAAAGTCCCGCCGTAAGAAAACATAATACGCAGAGTCTTAGTCTTAAATATTCCACTTTTCCAACACAACCCACGAAACCCAACTAACATGGAAAAAGGTTACAATTTTACCTACGCAATATATGAAAAGGTATACATTTTTGAGATCTAAATTATATGAAAAGGGTGGGGTAACAGAACCCCAGCAACACCCCCTATCAATTAAGTATTGAAATGTCCCTCCCTTACCCCCCCCCCCCCCCCCCCCCGTCCCCGAGGTTACGTTACAGCTTTTCTCGTAGGTAATAGAGAAATATTTCAAATACTATATGCCAAGAAGATTCCACTTCAGATAATCTCGTAACTCACACACAAAAAAATAGCCAGGAAGCTAGGGTATAATGATAGTGTTGCTTCAGTGGATGAACTTTCGAGACATTATTAGTGTTTGTAATTTATGCAGAGTATAAGTGATGTTTATACAGGAGGAAATGTTTCTTCCATGAGATGGGGAGTCAATTCCATTAAAAGGTTAAGGTCGTGACTAACTTGGTCTATCTGATCATCAAGGATCAGATTACATTCACAGCCTGACGGATTCTCAGTTTTGTTTTGACTGGTGAATAAAAAGGATATCTACTCTTTAAGAATAAGTTTTCAATTTACAATTTTGCTTATTTGCATTTTTGTTCTGCAGTGAAACTTTGCGATTTGAAATTGGGATAATATTACTATATTTATATACTCCCGTCTAGGACATTAAAGGGATTCCGTTCACGATTTGCAATTCCAAAGTGTAATTACTACATTCGTTACTAGAACTATTGTTGACAAGCTTTCAACGTTCATCGTGCAATTCATTATTTCGCACATAAGTTGATCGTTATACAGTAAAAGGGGGTATATTTCGTCTTATTCCAAACACTTCTAGATACTTTAATTGGATTAATGTATCCCGAATTATGTGAACTTGAATAAGTTTATCTAATATTTTTGTGATTTTACTGCGATAACAACTACATTAAATATCATGGCTCTGCAACAAGACGTAACACTGCCGTATCAGAAACCGACAACATCCAAATAACAACGAAGAAAATGCAATACGCAGCTCGTAATGGGATATAGACAATTCAGGAAATTGGACGAGATTCCGGGAAAAGTTGCAGAAGTTTAACTGTATTTGGACGACAAAGAACGCTTGAGCACTTATTAAATTCGAGATTGTGCAACTGTCGATAGCCATACTTGGCAACAGGAAGAGTTACTTCAAGATGCGCTCACATTTGAAAGAAGTTCCGCAACTTCAGCGCGCATGGATACTGTGAATAGAAACGACGCAAGTGCGGACTTCAATGTACACAATATGGCTACTTAATGCTTCCAGCATCTCAAACTACAGTACTCTTCAATTAGGCTGTATATATGTGGAATAAGGTATAGATTCTAGTAACAATTTGGAGAGATTGTCCTTGGTTTTTTTTTAAACTCTATTGAAAGTTTAGGAAAACCAATCATCAAAGATCGTTCGCCCATAACTTTTGATAATCTTCAACGTGTATGTATCAAGCTTAAAGTATGAATTTTTTTTCTCCTTTTGATGATCATATGTTTTTTCGGTAACTGCTTTTACAGTAATTTTTTATTGTTTTTTTTGTTTGTTTCTTGCAACAAATTAAGTATATCTGATGTTTGTTTTATTCTGATTATCTTATTTTACAATTAAAGGACACTAAGACATTTGTGCATGTACATACCTGTAGATTTAATATGTGTATTGAAGATATCTTGTATTTGCTTGTTTTTATTTTAGAACTGATTCATAGATTAAATGTATGTTTTATTTTTTTCTGTATTTCATTATTAGTGAATTTTTGAAGGTCCCCATGATGTTACATACAAGTAAATAGTTTCATCACTCTACCATTACTATCCTGATTTAATTTATTGGGGGTCACTCAGTTGTTCCACATTCGAACTTTTGACCATAACGAAATTTCACAACTGGTTAGTTTCTCTTTTTATAGCCTAAGTAATTTGTAACAATTTTCATCTCTCCACCATCAATTTCGTAGCACCCTTCTAGCGTTATCACCTTTTTGGAAACCTCTGCGTTCCAGTTGATTGGCGGTGGTCCATGTTTACGTGGCTTGGCCCAGAGGGACATTCAGACTAATAGATCGAAAATAAACTGACAACGCCATGGCTAAAAAGAAAAAGATAAACAGACAAATAATACTACACAAGACACAACATAGAAATCTAAAGACTAAGCAACACGAACCCCACCAAAAGATGGGGTGATCTCAGGTGCTCCGGAAGGGTTAGCAGATCCTGCTCCACATGTGGCACCCGTAGTGTTGCTCATGTTATTACAAACCTGGAAAATAGTCTAATTCGGTAGGTCACATTAGTGAAAAGGGAACAAGATTGAAGATACGACACAAGGAACATATCCGATATCATCTGTGAAACAGATAATCCATAACGGTCAACCAACTCGTGATGTCGTCCGTAAAATTTACGAAGGGATGATTTCAACTTCACCATTTGGAACTCTTGGTTTAATAGCTTCCTTGTGAGCAGCAACCCTCTATCAAGGAAATCATGATAGAAAATATAAGCCCCGGGAATATCTTATCAATTGGGAGATATATACTCCGTATGCAGGCGCTGCTTGAATGTGCTACATAAAAATGGAAAGTTCACAATTGGGAAGCTGGAATCATCTCTTTTGTCGTAAAGTATTGTTTTCAACCGACCCTCATTGTCAATTTCAAGATGTAAGTCAAGACATGAGGCAGACTTGGCTATATCTGTTGTATCCTTTATCTCTTGTTCGATGGGATAGATGCGTTCAACATAGTCACCAAATTTTAAATTATTTAGTGACAGAACATCCTCTATAAAGCGAAAAGTAAAGTTAAAGGATATTGCTAACTTCTTTTGTTTCTTCCTAAGAAGTTTATGTATGAAGTCAGCCTTATGAGAATAAAGGAACAAGTCGACAAGAAGACGGGCACAATTGGTTCCCATGGAAATGCCGATAGTTTGTTGAAAAACACGTCCACCAAACGTAAAAAATATGTTGTCAATCAAGAAATCAAGCATCTTCATGATGTCAGTTTCAGAGAATTTTTTGTTTGAATCAGAGTGATTATTTACAAAGTAGGATTTATCCCTCCTTAGGGCAAGATACTTGTATCTACGTTGGCCATTCTTTTTTTATGAAACAAAGCAATACTAACTCTGTTATTAAATGTTTTAATACTATTGCTAGATGAAAGAGTCTGAGATTGTATGTACTCCAAAAGATCTTTGGAATTTTTTAGTATCCACATCTGGTTCATAATAGCTGGCCGCCACGCAATAGCCCAGAGTGTTATGAGTGGCGTTAAATACACACAAAAAAAATCCCAATCAATCACAGTTATTGCCATTGAAGGGGTAATATTGCAATTTAGGGTGAAAGGCAAACAATGATTTACACAATCATATTTACAATTAAGTGACAGGGCCGAAATTGTCAATTTACTCCTTCTCAGAGATTAAAGATATTTTCTTCTGACGTTATAGTCTCGTTGAAATCTCGTTCTGGAATTATTTCCAAAGCGTGATACAAGTGGAAAATATCAATGAATTTATAAAAAATATTATAATCAAACTGAACTCTGTGAAAAAATTGTGTATTTACAAGAAGTAGTTTTTGAGTAATAAAATTTTCAAATTTTCAAAAATGTTAAGAAAATGGATGAGGGTACAAGAAATAATTAATCAGGAACATGTACGTATACATCCCATATCAATGTTTTCTTTTCAAATTTCTTAGATATTTATTTTCTCAATCGTTTATAACAAAGAAGTTGAAATAATATGCTTTTTGTTCTAAACAAAGGAGAAAAATCAAAAATTTAGAAAATTGACAGGAAGGTAAATTTAACTCGAAACTTTTAATATTAACACTCACCTATATTTTTTTAAGCTAAATTTATTCAGATTGGTCCACTTCATCTTTATTGAAAGTATGAGGATAGTTTAATTGTGAAACTGTGATTTTTTTCATCGTAATAGCCCAAAAATGGGTAAAAAATTGATGAAAAATGGGAAAATTATCAGAATTGGGTACTTTCAAATGGCCGTAGCTAAAAAAGAAGTGCTCCACCATTTGATGTTTTCTTCACCTACTATTTTTTACAGTCATATAAACACAAAAATCCGATTAAGAAAACAAGTTTAATTCTAGAAATTTTTAACTCCTCAAAGGTGTACACCTTCAAAAACGATTTTTAGCAAATTTCAAGATTTCCTACTGATTCTATAATAAATAAAAAGATTCATCAAGGAACAAATTTGTTCAGCAAAATAAGTTTTACTTACGAAAATCGGAAACGTACAGAATGAATTGAAGATAGATATATCTATCGGGATTGCTTTTCTGACCATGTGTTTATCCGTATGCAAGCGGCTCACGTATTTATGCTTATATTTTTCATAATCCGGTACATGATATTTGTGTTGTTTCATAAAGAACAATACTAAATAAAAAAAAGTATCACAAGTATAATATTTCGACCCATCTATTTGAAAGAGAGGCGAAAGATACCAGAGGGACAGTCAAACTCATAGATCGAAAATAAACTGACAACGCAAAAAGACAAGCAGACAAATAATAGTACACAAAACACAACATAGAAAACTACAGACTAAGCAACACGAACCCCACCAAAAACTGGGGATGATCTCGTGTGCTCCGGAAGGTTAAGCTTGTATACGGATAAACACATGGTCAGAAAAGCAATCCCGATAGAAATAGATTATAACATGGCAATTTTCATATCAGACCCCTTATCAGCCCTAGGTCATAATATCAGCCCGACAGCCGACAGGCTCGAGGGATGATTTTGACCATGGGCTGATAAGGGGTCTGATATGAAAAATGACATGTTATGTTCTTTTTATCATATATTTCAGCAGAAGACATACAGACAAAAACTATTTTTAAAACTTTGAAAAAATGCATTTGTTGTAATATTTGTTTTACATTTTTTAATAATATATTTTCTTGATTCCTAATATTTTTTTCATCCAACTTTGTTATGTATTACACAAAATACGTACCATTGAGGTGTATTTTCCGTAATTTGCCGAATGACGTCGAATTGTCATGCGATAACGTTACAGAAAAACATGCGCTTATAACCGGAAGCAGTTGATATAAAACGGAAGCAGTTGATATAAACCGTAAGCAGTTGATA